TCTCTCAAGTTACATATCTATTAATATTTGATACAAACATATTTATTATATACTTGCCAATTTATATATCAAAATGAGACGTAGCTCAAATGATAGAATCATATCTTCCATCTTTTTCCTTTTCAATACCACCAATCGAAATTTCTTAGCACCTTTTAGACTTTTAACTTTAAATCTTATAGGAAATCTCTAATCTCTACAGTCTATATTATCCTTCTATTATAATTGTCAATACAACCATTAATGGCAATATCGCTCAAACTCAAATGGTTGAGTTATGATGAATTATGGATTTTGATTCCCTACATCTCCACATTTATCTTTGTTTTTTTTCCTCATTCTTATCTACATTATTTGAAAGTTTGATTATCTCTCTCAAATTACAATTATTTAAGGGAAAATAAACATACACATTTTTTCATAAGATCATAGGCAATTAAGATCAACGTCTCTCAAGTAACTTTTTTATTAATTTTTAATACAAACATATTGATAATATACTTGCCATTTATATGTCAGATGGATATGTAACTCAAATGATAGAGTCATATCTTCCATATTTTTCCTTTCCAAAAGTAACATCCGAAATTTCTTAGCGCCTTTTAGATTTGATCTTTAAATCTTTTAGGGAATCTCCAGTCTCTACAATTTATGTTTTATTTTCTACATAGTATTAGTATATTATTCTTTCCTTATTTTGAATAAAACAGTAGCACAAAGAATGCCATGAAAAAATGACGGTTCAATCTCAGGCATATGTTTTTATGACAAATATTGTAGTAGAGTACCACTGTAATAATGGTGGTGGTGGATTTGGTTTTGTGGGTTTTCCTGCATCTCATAATTTATCAAATCTTTTAGGTTTCAAAGAGTTATGATATCCTCTCATACAAATTATCAAAAGGATTTTACATTGCCCACCTGCTATTTATTATTAGCTACAAGGATGAAAACAAGTCTAAAAGAAGGAAATGAAAGCAAACATAGATGAAGAATAATAAAACAAATTTAAACATTTTCTTACCATACTTGTCTAATCGTGATTCTCAAAAAAATCAACCACCTCCAAGTGTCCCATAGCATCAACGCCATTAACATTATCTAGTTTATGGGCATCATTCTTGTATGGAAAATTTGCCTCAACATAATCAGTTTGAAAAGTCAAATTTACTTCCAAATTATTTGAAGTTTTTTTTATAGAGCCTTCATAAAGTTTTGCTAGATGCTTAGGCATGCGATGGGTGTGCGTGACCAATGCCCTTTCATACCGACACTTGTGACAATAACAACTTTTGAAGGGCCATTCTTATTTTTTTTCCCCGTTGTGTTTCTTTTTCTTGTACATATTAGGATTATAGTTGTTACTTCTATCACCATGATAATGGTAATTAATTCATCCTCTTCTACGACCACCATAACCATGACCGCGTCCACGAACATGGTAATCATTGGATATAGTCGACACATCACTTCAAGGAATGGAGCTAATTGAGTGGGACAAATCTCATTATTTTGTTTAGCCATAATAAGGCATCAAATCAATTCAGAATATTTTTTAAAACCCATTTCACAATATTAATGCTATAGAAGCTAGCACATTTAAAGCATGAAAAGTTAAAATGGCTTTCCTAACAAGTCATTGTCAGTTATTTTCTCATCACATAATTTTAATTGAGAACTTATTTTAAAATTTGCTAAATTATATTCAGTTACATTATTAAAATCTTATAGACTCAAATACATCTATTCATAACGAGCTCTAGGCAAAATTATCATCTTCTGATAATCATACCTTTCATTCAAATTATTCTACAACTCTAATGGATCTTTCAACGTTAGATATACAACCTTTAGCCTTTCATACAAATGTTGGTGAAGGAAAATTATGCCCTTAGCCTTGTCTTGACTAATTACTTCATTTCTAGGTAAAATAACATTTCTTAGACCCTTGACATCCATGTAGATTTCAGCATATAAAACCCAAGATAAATAATTTTCTCTCATAAGGTTCATAAACTTGATTTTGGTAAGACTTTCCATGAATAAAACTAAAATAATGACAACAATTAGAATTAAGATAAAATTGATAAACAATAAAACATAATGAATAAAAATATTTGTATTTAGAAGCCACTCAAATGAATTATACCATCAAAATTCAAAAATTATAAGAACATGAAGAATAATACATAAACACATTTGAAGATAGACAAGGTGTGGGACTTAAGGAATGATGGAAGGAAATAAAAAAGAAAAATATATAAAATATAAAAATAAGTAAATAAAAATGAAGTAGAAGAATCCAGATTTCAAATGAACAAATTCAAACTTGATTCAAAAGGTGAACCACAAAGACAATGCATATAGACATATACAAAGGGAGGGGGAAATTATAGTAATATAAATAAATATATAAATATAACAGTAGAGCTGAGTAAATAACATAAATAAATAAACATAAGTCATACATATGTAATGATGTAAAAATTTAAATGAAGACAAAAATAATGCTGCAATGAAATAAATACAAATTCATAATGAAATAAAGACAACAAATAAACCCCTAATTATATAAATCACATCACTAATACATATCATTGTAAATAAACTATACACACAGTATATATATATATATATATATTTATATATAAGCAACATAAATAAATATAAACAAATGCAATGAAAGAAAGGAAAATATGAACAGTATAGTTAGTAATTAATCATCATTAGCTGGCAACATGAATACCAAATGAAAATAATACATAAATTATATCAATTAGAAAACAACATAAATAACATAATATTTCACAATAGGTTAACATGATAAAATGACGTAAAATATAAACAGAATAATAGCATAATATAAAATACAAAGGGAAGAAAAAATGAAATAACATAATGTAAAATAAAATACTTTTTTGGTTCTAAATATAAGACACATTTTGCAGTGTAATTTATATTAAAAAATGTGTCTTATATTTAGTACTGAAAGGAGTAAAAGATAACCATGAATATATAATGTAATAACGAAATTAAAGTGCGTTGAAAAGAACAGAATCATATAAAACAACAACATAATATAAAGTAAATGTGTAGAAAATTAAAATTACACATGATAATTGAAGCTAATAATAGCAAAACAGGAAATTGGGAGAGAAAGCAAGGGAGAATTTCTCATTCACTTATGGGTACCCATGGCTTCTACATAACCTCTATTTATTGGCCTCCAAACATTAAGATCCCGTTTGGTATGAAACATTAAGAATGAGAGGCAAGGATTGTGATTGATATTGAGAAAAACTACTAAAAGAGCATTTAGTATGAATAATTGGTTGTTACATGAGATTTGGCAAATCTATGCAGGTGATATTGGAGAATACCATCTTTCCTTATGGTATTCCTTAATCCCACCTACATAGGTTTGTTCAATCTTATGTAGTAAGCAATTTTTCGTACTAAACACTCTTTTAATATATGTTTTCAATAGAAGTTATAATCCTTATCCTCTATTTTCAATGCTTTGTGTCAAACAAAACCTAATCCTAACCCTAATACTATAATGGAATAAAGAGGAACATAATAGCATTAACCATAAGAAACTCTCTCCAAAGTCATTTAATGAGAATGTTATGAGTTTAGGATATTCAGAGATAAAAAATCCTAAGGTTAGGGGTTATCAACATCCACGTGTACAATAAGAGTTAGGCCCTTGACAGTTGAAAGAACACGACAAATTAAATAAAATAGAACCTCTTAAGTATATAACCTTCCTATTGGTAAGCATACGGTTAAAGGTTGTACGTGGGTTGTGTTCATCTTGGTAGAAGTTTCAAAATACAAAAACCATCAAAATATACCTTTTGCCCATGCATTGCACAGGAGAGAAAACCCTATTTTTAAAAGGGAAAATGACCACACAAAAAAAAAAAAGAAGCTGAAAATTTGTAAATGCCTAATAAGGAATGTCAATAAAAATTTGTTGTCATTTGCAAATTTAATGTTGTCGATACCAAATGAAGTGTTGTTACCAAACCCAATTTGGGATTTAGTAATTTCCAGCTTCTTTTTTGGTCATTTTTTTCTTTCTAAAATAAAATAAGTTATTTGTATTTTTTATATAAACAAGATGTTATTAGTTTTTATCTTTTAGTTACTAAGAAAGCTTCATGCCAATGTATGGATAATAAAAGAAAAATGATTAGTTAGGCTTTCATTGTTAATGTTATTTATACCCAAAAAAATAAAAATCTTGTTATTTTATATTGTTATAGTTATTTATTTGTTATTACTGATAGTATTCTATTGCATACCTTTTAAATACCATTAACTTCTATAAAATAACATCAACCCACAATTCCACATATTGTACTAAATACTATTACATTTTTTTAAAATTATTAAACTAATATTTACTCTCTTTTTTCCCTTTATTAGTTTTTAATGGTATGTTTGGTTCATGAGAAGCGAGAGGAAAGATATATTTGAATAAGTTCAATTTAAAAAAATGAATTCTCATTACTCTTTCCTCTTACATCCTTTTTAGTATTGAAATCTTTTAACCAATTTTACCAAAAAATAATAATAAGAGCCACTTGTCCATCTGTTTTAAATGAACTCAATAAAAACTATACTCTCCTTCAATCCCCTCGAATCAATCAAAAGATTAATAGAAAGGTGGGGAAAAAAAAAACTGCTAGTTACACGCTAATGGACAAAAAATGCTAGATTTTCATTGCTTTTTTCTATTATTCATGACATTTGATCACATATGCCAGCTCTTACATGTTCTACAATAGAAAGATGAAAAAAATTATTACAACTTCACGGGATTTCTTCAGGGAAATCACATAATAAAAGAGCTAAGTTTGCTAATCCCCAATGACTAGGAAAGAGCAATACTTCTTAAAAAAATAAGGACAACAACCATAATAATAGTAGATATAATAAATTTAAGAATCAATAATAATTATTCAATATGGAGATCAAAAGAGGCCTCAATTTCAGTTCTGCTTGTCCATCCCAAGTGTGTGCTTCACAGAATCCACTGCACCTTGAGCCATGTTCTTTACTTGCTCTCCCGTCTGCAAACAATATTATTAAAGAATGAGAAAAAACTGATATCGAGATCCATTAATATAAAATATAAAATCCATAATAAGCTATACTATTACTTTACACATTGCCTAGAAGTGTGTGTGTGTGTGTAGTTTTATAATGAGTTAACCTGTTGGAGAAAGCCGGCAGCTTCCTCCTTGTGAAGCTGAGCTTGGCCTCCAGATGAGTCAGCAGCAGCAGAAGCATGGTCCATGGCTGCAGTTGCTGTGTTCTGTGCGGAACTTGCAGATTGCTTTGCTAAGTCTGCACTTTGGTCTGCCCTCTCCTAATTAATTAACCAACCAAACATTAATTAATATAATTAGGCCTATCTCAAAAATGTTGGTTGATTAATTAAGCTAATTAAGTACAGTAATGGACGTTATTTATTAATTTTGAAGACATAAGAGATGTGTATGAAGATAATTCATTTGGTGTTACTAAAATGTGAAAGAATTTCAGAATGAGAGTTATTATTGATTTGGTGTTACTAAAATGTGAAAGAATTTCAGAATGAGAGTTATTATTGATTTGGTGTTACTAAAATGTGAAAGAATTTCAGAATGAGAGTTATTATTGATGAGGTTTGAAAAAAATGGAAGAAAAAGAAAGTTATTACTGATGAATAATTCACCTGAGATTGGCCATGGAATTGGCCGGCATTGAAGCTTGCACTGGACATGGTTTGTGGATTTGGTGTTTGAAGGACTAAGAGATAAAATGAACAAGAGAGATGAAGATTAACTTTGTGCTGTGGATCTTCTTAGAGGTGTGTGTGTGTGTGTGTGTATATGTGTGTGTGTGTGTGTGTGTATAACCGTGAGAGCTGAAACTGAAAACTTGTGGCTGGAAGAAGCATGGTTTCCACCATTATTGGGAGATTATTTCTGCTCTTGAAAAGGATATTGACTGAATTAATTAGATGGGAGAATGTGAAATCAACCTCTGGCTTGAGAGAATTATGGATCACCATAAGTATATCGCTTATTATATACAAAACAAAATTCTTTGATCAATATCTACTTACTATTTATCAAATGATAATTTTTGTAATTAAGAGTTGAAATCATGATACTAAAATTCAACCGAAGTTGGTATGTTAGATCAATGAACCTATGAATTAGTTCCTAAAATGGTCCAGTTAAGAGTTTTAGACGAATCAACCGAATTAAAATTTAATTTTTTCCTCTTCTTTTTAAGCCTAAAATGACATCATTTTGAGTTTAAAAAGAAAAAGAAATTAGTCGTATTTGTGCTTTAATAACTATGTTTTGTTGGATTATACAGGGCTTATATATAAATGCTTCATTAATTAGTCGTGAATTTGTGTCTTTTTTATTTAAATATTATTTTTTAGGATTATATATGAGTGCTTTAATATATTTGAATTAAATTAATTATTATAATTATGATTAGGTTAATCTCAATTTAACTGTGGTTGAAACAACTAATTCTTCAACCACTGCCTTCATTCATTTAATGATCATTTTGGTTTTCAGTATCTCTGATCTATAAACGAGTTAAATCCTAGTGATGCTCATTAGGGATAAGGCTTACTTCAAAACTTAAAGGCCAATTATTACAAAAATATTTTTCAACTATATTCATCGACAAATTAAATTTATCACATTAATAAGGTGACTTGACCTATGTCAAATTCTACCAATTGTACAAACCTTTTTTTAAGAAAAAAAATAATATGTTCATAGGAAAAAGGGTAAATATACAATTTTACCCATAATCTTGTTTATCAAGTGCACTTATTACCATGATCTTTTTAATGGTGTAATTTTATTCATAATTTTTTAGTGTAATTTTACCCCTCCCAAATATCTGTGGGTTTTGGCCTTTTGGGCACACAAGCAGCAGAATAAATGCAAAACTTTTTTGCCAAAACCCTCCAAGGATCTGTTGGCATTGGTTAAATTAAATAAGAGAAAGGAGACTTCACAAAATTAACTCGAGATTCAATTTTCAGGATTCTTTTTGGTAATGGAGATCCAAGGTGCCGCTCCTGAGACAAACACCCTCTATCGGTACCCGCATGAATAGGAACACGAACAGTGTGCTAGCACCATTCCTCGAATCACAATTGATATGGTTCTTGCTGTCCAAGAAGGTCACACATATTCTTCTTTGTGTGACTCAAGAAAAATTGTTATCCACCATTCTCATAGCTTTTCTCTCTCTCAAGATGGGTTTTGGTGGTTCTCTTGCTCTCAAAGAACCTCTAGTCTCAAAACTCATCAGGTTAGCGTCTCTGATTGTTAGGATAAACCTTAATTTAACTTAAATCTCATATTAAAATTAAATACTACCTCCGGTCTTAATGATAAGACTTTGTTTGTATATTACAAATGAGGTCTTATAATTATGACTAGAGGTAGTAGTAAATTATATAGAATTTTATATATTAAATACATAAAAGTCACCCACCACCATGAGAAGAGAGATATGATATTTATCCTATATAAAAATATCTAATTCAGAATTATGTATATCATATGTATATTAATTTTTATTAATATTTTCATAGGATCTTACCATTCTATTTAATTTTGGATATGCCACTTTCCATATGATCCGAAGAGATCATGTTTCAGAATAAATCTTCTAAAGATTTAGAATCCTAAATTAAACATAATATTATTATTTCTTTTAAATACATTGTTATTTTAAATAATAATAATTATTTAAAATTATTATTTCTAAAGATTTCAGAATAAATTATTATTTCTTTTAAATAATAAAATAATATTATTTTACCATAAATAATATTACATTCTTCTAATCCAAATTTTTCTTATTTTGAAAATAAGAAATTTCCTAAATTAAATTAAATGAGGACATTTTATATTAATAAAATCTGAACACTTTCTACATTCAATGAATCTAGCCATTTAAGTTTGTGTCTGCCTATTCTTGTGTGCAACATGTCGGCTCATATGATGTTTGTAGTGGGTCTAAAATAGTTTTTGGTCCGCAAGTCACAAGTAGCATCTATCGAGACATTATGACTACATAAAGTAGATGAATATCAGTGATAAGATTTAACCTATCTTGTAAACATGTCAAGTCCTTTTTGTCACATAATATTTAGATTGAGCATGAGACATGAAGAAGTCACTCTCATATTACTCAATAAGCTGGCAAAATAAATGAAACTCATTTCATTTGAGACGGCATGCATTTCTTAATCTCACTCATTGAGGGGGCCGAAGATATCTCTCTTGCAATGGGAGGGACAAATTCCATATTGACCATTCACTTTTCTCTGCATAGATCCCAGTATCCCACTATATTCAACCATGAAGTTTATGATCACTCGGTTAAAAGTGATTCTTGATCATGTCAAAACATAGTATTCCTTATGTAGGGATCTATGGTAATCTCAGGTTTAAGGGCCCAATGACATGATTATACTGACATACATTTATGACCTACTCCTGACATACAATTATGACCTAGTCCATGTAGCTATATCATGATGTGTCTCTAACAAGTACCTATGATATTGATTTATATATCCGCACAAGATCATCAATCAAAATCTCATACTAGTCTTTTTTTTCGGACAAAGGACTGAAGGGAAAACCACCTAACACGGGTGGTACCCAAACAATCATCTTCCCTACTTATACACTTTAACACACTCACACACCCATCCGATGTGAGGCTTGAGAGCACCCACAAGATACTAGTCTTAGTTTATTATTATTGTTTCCACGGTAATAACTGAACAGGAGCATTTAGAATAATTCTTTAATTATTCATGGATTCATATTATAAAGAAAACGTGCAATTAAAAGGTATAATAAATAATTTAATAAAACTTCTTTTATTAAATTAAATAAAAATGTCTACATCCGGCCTAAGGCGCAATCCCTAGCAATCCCCCATGGGCACTAGGCCCAATCATGCATATATCTAGTACCCGCGGATCTGGTATGGCATTCACGCTTTGCTTGTGGAAGAGGTTTAGCATGAGGATATGCAACATTATCATCAGTTGTGAAAAAAGGGCAAATTTACATTTTTATGCATATATATATAAACCTTTGTTAAACCAGTTGGCGGGGAAAAAAACTTTGTTGAACCAAAAATTTTAACTATTTTTCATGATAATTTCTACCCATTAATGAATATTGAATTTTAAAATTCTCTTTCAATTTTAAATCCTAATTGATATTAATCGTTTCTGAAAAGTATCATGCTTTCATCATAAATAATGAATGCCAATTTTATGTCATGTACACGCACGCTTGTATTGGTATGGCATTCACGCTTTGCTTGTGGAAGAGGTTTAGTATGAGGATATGCAACATTATCATCAGTTGTGGAAAAAGGGCAAAATTACATTTTTATGCATATATATATATATATATATATATATATATAAACCTTTGTTAAACCAGCTGGCGGGAAAAAAAAACTTTGTTGAACCAAAAATTTTAACTATTTTTCATAATAATTTCTACCCATTAATGAATATTGAATTTTAAAATTCTCTTTCAATTTTAAATCCTAATTGATATTAATCGTTTCTGAAAAGTATCATGCTTTCATCATAAATAATGAATGCCGATTTTATGTCATGTACATGCACGCTTGTATTTTATTTACCTTTTTTGCTACTTCCAATTTTAAATACAGGAACTAGTTTATAGTGTAATTTATACTACAAACTACTTTTAATATTTAATACTGAAGATATCCAATATTATTGTCTAATCTATAAATTTCATTAGTTAAGTTGTATCTAGAATTCAAAAGTATTTTGTGTTGCATTCACTAATTAAATTTTGTTATGAATCAATTAATTACAGACGCATAAATCCCAACCACCTTTCTTAATATGTCTGATGCGAAATAAAAGAAAATCTTATAATAACCAACAGAGGGAGTAATAAGAATAAGCATCATCATCATCATCACTTCTCGTATAGACAGAAATTAGAAAATCAGAAATTGACTACGATAGGATAGTTAACACACATTATGTAACTATGAAACCACTAGGAGCCTTTTATTTAGAATATTAATAATCGATGCTTTTTACATCATTTTGTGCCTTCCACTTGTTGATCTTCTACACATTTGATTTTATTATGGACCAGAACAAGTCCATTGTGACTGAAATACTTCATCTCCACAAGATAGAGAGAAACTAATTTAAAAAAAAAATACTGGGATCCACTTCTACATACATGGACCCTAGAAAAAATCAAAAACCAAAAAAAAAAAAAGACGAAAACAAAAAGCAAAACAAGAGAGGCTCCTTGTTATTTTCTTAAAAAAAAATTTCTTTGGCCTTTTCAACTTTGTTTGTCCATTCCAAGTGTATGCTTCACACTATCCACAGCACCCTGAGCCATGTTCTTCACTTGCTCCGTGGTCTGCATCAACAGTATATCTAAATATATTATTCTTCAAAAATTAGTTGAGAAAATTAGGCTGGCCTCTCTCTGTCTCTCTCTATATATGTATATATATTAAAATCCTCTTTATTTTCCAAATCATTAAGAAATTGTCTTCAATTTTACTAAAATTTTACCTCCCTTTTATTATTAAAACCCTCAAAACTTTGTTAAATTTAATTGAAATTACATTCCAGATCGAAGGGATCTCACTATAGTTTTAAATAAAAGTATTTTTATTAAGAAAAATAGAGAACAGAAAATGTGGGTGTCTATATATATAGTTTTATAAAGAATTAACCTGTTGGATCAAGCCACTAGCTTCCTCCTTGTGCAGCTGAGCTTGGCTTCCAGATGAGTTAGCAGCAGCAGAAGCTTGGTCCATAGCTGCACTTGCTGTGTTCTGTGCAGCACTTGCTGATTGGCTTGCAAATCCTGCACTCTGATCTGCCCTCTCCTGATTAACCCACCAGGCATTAATTTCACTATTGATTGATTAGACGTAGTTCAAATTAAAATTTTGGGATTTGGACTTCCCCCCCCTTAAATCTCATCTCCACTACTATTAGATTAACAAATAAATAGATCAAGATTTAATATTTTGTAAAGCTATTATTCTAATATTACATAAAAAGGAGAAAGAGTGTAGGCATTTATTTTCTAAAATCTTAAATTTTAACCATTCATTTTTCGATCAAACGGTGTAGATAGGATTTTGAAAAGAAAAAGAGGAGAGGGGATTTTGAGAGTATCTATATCAAAATTTTGGCGAATTAAAGACAGCTATGAACATTGTTAATAACAACAGCCACAAATCTTATCCCACTATATAAGAATGATCATTATTAATAACAGTAACAACAAATCTTATACTTATATCCTATTATATAAGAATCGACATTATCATTAACTTTGACAATATAAGGAAGCATGCATCCATGTATATTTTAGTATTATTGAAATGTTGAGAATTTCAGAATCAGAGTTTATGGTTGATGAGCTTTAAGGGAAAAAAGGTTATATTATTGATGTCACCTGGGATTGGCCATGGACGTTGCCAGCATCGAAGCTTTGGTGTACGTTAGACATGATGGTTGCTGGGATAGAAACAATAGCTGCGATATAAGCTTGATGAGTTTTGAAGATATTCGCAATTGATGTTCTTAGAGGAGCTATATATAGAATTTTAAATGTACCCTCTTTGGCATTTAAAAGTCAATAACTGAAACATCCTGGTATGCAGGATCGTTTTCTGCATTATTAATGGATGAGCGATTATTTCTGCCTTTGAAATGAGCTTTGATGATTTATTATTATATATTGGAAAAAGTATTGACTACTACTGTAAGCCTTTAATTTGAGAGAATTGTGCATCACCGAGAGTTTCATTAGCCGCAAATTGTGTTTGCAAAGATGACTTGGTTTATATTATATATGCTTACATTTTTTCAATTAAAATTAAGTTTGTAGAGAATTCATATATCATTTTTATAAATCTTTTTACAATTAAATAATAAGAATAAAAAAGAAACCAAGGATGTTAAAAACATCTACAGAGATCTAAATAAAAGGTATAGTCAAATATATACTTTTTGTTTCAAAAATATATTTTCTATTATTCAGTGATTAGAAAATGATTGAACTGAGTCTGTAATAAGCATTTTGAGTATGAAATTGGGTTTTTTGTTTTTTAAATTCACGTAATTAACATTCTCTACATTCTATTGAACTGTTTGGAAGTGTTACCAACTCTTAAAAGTCTAATATATTAATGCGCAAATATGTTACACGTGGTAAAATATGACATGTGTATGTGCATGCAGAAAAGAAGGAATACATGAAGTCTGGGACTTTGAATTTTGTGAATAAAGATTGATTGAAACTCAGTTTTTTTAAGAGCCGTGAGTTTGTATTGGGAAGGATATCGAAGTTAAAAAAAAAGGGTTTTAGATGTTTCCAAATTGTTTGATTATGATTTTGAGAGTAATAAGGCAAGAAATGTTGGGGTTTAAATGGAAGTGGATGGTTGTTGTCTTTAGATGTTTTGAAATGATTAGAAATGATTAAGTTAGATTAGAGGCTTCTATGTAATAGTGAAAATTGAAATCCAAGAAAAGTATCAAGAGTAAAATAAAAGTTAAGAAATGGCATTTGAGCTTTTGTGATCATTAAGAGGAAATGCTTACTGTTTTGATGGCTTAAGAATGAGAGTAAATCATGAGAGGGACACGTTGAATGTCGTTAACAGTTATAGATAGAATAATGTTTTTGTCCATGATGATCGACCACGTGGGATCTAAGGGGGTATTTAATATATAAATCATATAATCGGATCAAGTGTTAACCTACCGTTGTGTGTGTAAATTTTAGCTAACATTTGCCCGAGCCCACCAGGGAGACAAACAAAAAAGAGGGCAGTAATGTTTGTTTTGGAAGAAAGCCTACTAGGCAGTAGTTTTTGCGCACTAGTTATTTCAACGTGTCTATCTAATTTTAATGCAGAGTGTGCTTTATGGCACAGCTTACAAGATTTTGTTTCTCCATGGCTTTTTTTGCATCATAGTTGTGATCTTGCATAATTATACAATGGAATTTGTTATTATAAGGATTCTTTGGAATCTCACCCATTTTCTTCCATATTGTATAATTTAGGCCGATAGCTCTAAGGGCTAGAACATGGTGATTGAAGAAGGAGGAAACGTAGAAGAAGCAAGCACACTTGTTTATATTCTAGGGTTAAAGTACATCCAATACTCTGAAATATTTTTTTCAGGTACAACCAGCATACTAAAGTATTTTGTGGTACATTAAGCACCCTGAAGTATTTTTTAGGAGCGCCTAGCACCTTGAAGTATTATTTTTGCCTGGGTACTAGATGCACAAAAAAATATTTTTGGATGCTGGACACACCTAAAAAAAATACTTTGAGATGCTAGATGTACCAAAAAAATACTTTACTGTGCCAGATACATATAAAAAAATATTTTAGGATACTGGATGCACCACAAAATATTTTAGGATGCTAGATGCACCTGAGAAAATATTTCGGGGTGCTGGATGCACCTTAACCCTATATTCTATATGGACTTTTAATATATAAATAGGTTATAGGTAAATATCTCTTTTTGGCAAGTTGTATTTACTTGCATACACACACATGTATTGTCTACATAAGAGGACGAAGTTAACAACTTGAGATCAATGTATGCCATCAATAGGGGTGACATAAATATAAATTTTAGTTTATTACTATGTTTAACTTATTATATATCTATGTGTGCTCAATAGTTTGGGCTAGAATTCAGGGTAGTGAATAATGGGTTGTACATGTTAGTATAGATTTAATTATATTTAGCAGATAGTTATACGCAGTGAAGATTGCATATAAAAAAAAATAGCTTATTATAGACATAGTCACTACAAAAAAATAGTAAATTATTAGTGGTTAAAAAAAAAGCTACAAAAGTAAAAATTTCTAGCGGTTATAATACAAACCGTATGAAATTTGCAGCGTTTTGACAAAAAAAGGTGTAGATCCCACAAATTTCTAGCGGTTTTGACCCAACTACTAGAAAGTAACCACCACAACTATTATTGCCATTTGGCGTGAAGTTATCGTCATATTTCCAGCGTTTAATTTCTAGCGGTTTTGATACTAGAACTGCTAGAGAATGTAAATCGTCATTGCATTTTCAAGCCGTTCCGTAACTGCTAGAAATGTCATCAAATTTTCTAGCAGTTTTCATTGAAACCGCTAGAAATATTTTATTTTTCCCAAGGAGTTCTTACACATGGCTGTATGCAGGTGGCGGCAAAGGAGCAGGGCTATAAATTTCTAGCAGTTTTCATAGAATCACTAGAAAATTGCAGCCTATATATACCCCCTCCTCCTCATTTACCCACTTGTGGCGAATTGTGAAGTGAAGCTCTGCCAAATTTTCTCCACAAAGCATATCCAGATCCAGATCCAGATAGTATTCCACATTTTCAGGTAAGAATAGAAATTTATTTATAAATTATTTTTATTTTTATTTTTATTTATTTAGTGTATGTCTTAGATAGTTCTCCACAATTTGAATTATGTGTTATATTTTTTATATTGAATTTAATAGATTGGTTTAGTTAGAATTAGTAGAAACAATTTTGTTTATAATAGATTGGTTTATTTAGAGTTAATTAAAGTAATTGTTTATTTTTAATGAGTTGATATGAGATTTAAATATACAAATATTTGTTATTCAATTATTATTATTTGATTATATTTATTTGAAGTATTTATTTAGAGTTATATTTTTTATATTGAGTTTAATAGACTAGTTTATTTAGAGTTAATAGAAATAATTATTTTTTAAATGAATTGATGGAAAATTTAAATGTACAAATATTTGGTTTTTAGTTATTATTATTTTTTAATAATTGTTAGTTGTGAAATATATTTTTCATTACAATTGCTATTTGTTATTATTAGGATGACTCATCGACTAGGGAAGGAGCTAGTCGATCCTGATAGACTTAGCGAGGATCATGGTGCTGGGGGTGATGGTGCTGTTGAGCCATGCCCAAGCATTCATGACTATGATTTAAGCGATGAGGACATCTTGATGTTCATGGCAAATGATAATGTCTAGCCTAATGAGGGGGCTAATTCCTCAGGGGATGATCAACTCCACATTGATGATGGTGAGGAGGAGGACGAGGAGGACGAGGTTCAGGGGAATGAGAATCCTCATAATGAGCAACATCCTGCTCCAAGGCACTAGACCGGTTTTGAAGTGGAGTTTGTAGGTAAGTATTTATTTAATCTTTTCAATTTGACAGCTATTTGATTTATAGAAAAATTGTTTTAATTTAATTAATATATAATTAATTTTCCAATTAAATTTTGCTGACTCTGAGGGGAACAGGTCCTATAGGAGGTTGACAGCCAGAGATCTATCCATGATGATGAGCAACCGGGTGGTTGTGCAACTGAATGAATTGGGCCAACTGACTAAGAAAGGTGACTAGCTATATAATAGGTATCTGTGGCTTCTTGGTTAGCAGTGGACTTTGTTCCCTATTTATGTGAAGGATTGGAAGAAAATCATAGCAGAAAAGAAGTAGCAAGGTTGAGAAGTGATGAAGGTTAGGGGTGTTCACGGGACGGATCGGGACCGGGATAGGCCCGTCCCGGTTCCGTCCCGATGAACAGTAACGGGACAGAAAATCTGTCCCGTGTCCCGGCCCGTCCCGGGGTTGTCCCGGTCCCGGTCGGGATGGGACGGATCCGGGACGGGACCGGGACGTCCCGAAATATTTTTTTTTAATTTTTTTTTAATTTTTTTTAATTTTTTTAAAAAAATTTTTAAAATTTTTTTTAAAAAATCTGATTTTTTAATTATATTTTTTTGAGCTTAAATCTTATAAAAACATCTTTTTTATTTGTTTGGGCACTCTTAAACAAAAGCTCAAAATATTACATATAATAGTTATTAAAAACTCTAAACAAAAGCTTTTAACACAATAAAAACTTGCTAAAAATTCTAATCATCAATAATCTCAAATCATTAACAAATATAAAAACTCTAATAAATATATCCATAGTTCCATACAATAGTCTCAAATCTTAAAAAAATATGAAAAAAATGATATTATATAAAAAATTAAAAAAATTAAATTTTTTTTTTTAAAAAAAGGGACCGGGACGGGACCGGGACGGGACGACCCCGTCCCGTGTCCCGTCCCGTCCCGAAAAATTTCGGGATGGATCCGTCCCGTCCCAATAAGACCGGGACCGGAACGGGCCGACCGGGATGGGCCGGCCTTGAACACCCCTAATGAAGGTAATATATATATTTTATTTAAATTACTTAATTGCTTGACTATAATTTGTTATTTATGTAATTAATTTGTTATTTATAATTTTTTAAAATTAGTTAAATGAATATATATTTTTTATTTAAATTACTTGATTGTTTGATTATAATTTGTTATTTATGTAATTAATTTTTTATTTATAATTTTTTAAAATTAGTTAAATGAATATATATTTTTTATTTAAATTACTTAATTGTTTGATTATAATTTGTTATTTAGGTAATTAATTATTT